TCATTGTGGAAAAATTCTTCTTCTACCAGTCCTTCATGACCTTAAACGAAATTGGGTGAATACATCTCACGTTACGGATTTACTGGTAGTCACGAAAACAATACATAATTCCCAAAATATGTGAAATGAATAGAAACATCAGCTCAACTCATATCTTTGTGGAAAAATTCTTTATCTACCAGTCCTTCATGACCTTAAACGAAATAGTGTGAATACATCTCATATCAATCATAAGCATTATTAACGTTTTTCTTTTCTTTATAACCGATATAAAAGAGTTGATTAATAACGAAATCATTTGCAGCCATTTTCTCTCAAATGAGAATATGCATAGCCAGTTTGCTGATTTGTGTACATTTTCCCCTGCCTCCAACCTACCTCTGCGGATGTTCTGTCAGTGTTCGCCATCCTAATCGTTCTTCTGGTGCTCACCTCCCTCCTGCTCATCTGTCGCTGCCTTTGCACGTGAGTCATGCGTCTCCTTCCGCGGGCTTTGTTCCGCTGATCCCATTTCTTGCTCTGCCTTTGAACTGACCTTCAGAGAGGATGGCATGTACCGGAGAATGGTGGGCCTACGTTCCTTCCAGCAGCAAAGCGCCAACTCGACCTGGACGCAGGAACATGTCGTTCCGTCGTCGCTCCCGCCAAGTCGACTGGCAGAAACACCAGCACACGAGCTCTCGATCGGCAGGTCTTGTAGAGAGCAGACATGGCTCTGTATGCTTTCGACTTGGTTGCTAGTCCGAGGGATGCCGTAATTAGGGTCGGCCGTCAGCCAATGAATTGTACTCTATTTTACTTCCTCAAAAGTCTATCCTCTTCTTGTTAGGGGACCTTCATTTCGCATCAAAGTGCATGAAGAAGAGACTCATTTTGTCGATCTGATCAAGACGAGGACGAAAGAAACTGGTTGTATTGCAACCGGTTGGTTGTATAGACGATAATACACACACACACACACACATACACATACACATATGGATACACTCGAGCAAAAGTAACAGGACCAGTATGAAAGATAATTAACCAAACCACTCTGAATCGGTGGATATAGGTTTTTATTTTTCCTTTCTTTTCCTTAATAGAGTCTATAAAAGAGGTAAGACGTTAATGACCCTCGACCGAGAGGTTAGGACACGTGCTTACAAGCTCATATCTCATCATCTCAATCATACTTACTTACGGACTTACGCAGTTTCGGTCATGGCGTTCTTTGAGGTCAATAGGCGTTGATGATCAGAGTCTAACTTTAACCTTTTGATAACTCTGATTTGGGATCGGTATTGCGTATAGACACTAACACACACGCACACATACACGCATACACTCGAGCAAAAGTAGCGGGATAAGTATGAATGGCAATTAGCTAAACCACTCTGTATCCATCTAGGTTTTTTATTTTTTTATTTTTTATTTTGCTCGATTGAGCCTCCATAAGAGGGGAGAAAAAGCCGGATAGTCTTCTTGGAATAGTTTTAATGTTTGACTTTTGCAAGAATGACATCCAGCTCTGATGATGTCCATCATAAGATGGACGAAAGCTATGCACGTTTTCACCCGAAGCGAGGGAGGAAATCTCGTGGACTGCGTCAACATGAAGGTCGTATCCAAGCCAAACGGATGCAGAAGAATGCGATTCATCCGTCCTCAGCTGGTGAGATCGACCAACGAATCTCTTCTTCATGCACTTTCATCCGAAATGAAGGTCACGCTAACAATGTTATCTCAGAAGATTCATCAAAACCAACTTTCTCTTCGTACCTTTCCTCTTTCATCTGAACGGTGCTCGATGACTTGGCCAGAAGAAGTCGGTAGCAGACACTGCAGACCCTCTTTATCGCACAGCCTCATGGTGACTGGCCAGAACAGACGAGCCGGTGTCCGAGAGGGCTAATTTCAGATCGGTCCGCCCCGACGGAAGCACAGGAGAAAGTGGATCCGAAATGGATCCGGCCTCCGGCAAGTGTAGACCAAGGAATTTTGCACTCATTCGCTTCTAAAATGATCCGATTCGGTCTATTTCCTGAGAAAGGGACCCGTAAGTTGAGTCATATCCTCAGCGCCAAATCGTTTCCTTCCTTCGTTATCGCAACTTGGTCTTGTTGTCAGGGAGACTATATAGAAGGCACCTAGTCCGAAGTCGTCTGCCATGTTAGTTGTCATGATTCCCAGCATCAGACAGTGGACTTGCTACATTCTCAGACTTTTCGCCGGCATCGAAGTCGGTATCATCAGTCAGTTTTGCCACTCTCTGCACCAAACTACAAACTCGTCGAAGAGACAAGTCAAGTCAATCCCTCGACAACCGTTCTGCCATTGTCTATCTATCCACTCTATAGACAATAATAGAAAGAGGGGGGATATTGTAACCGTTTCCGGCAGAACGGTTGTCGAGGGATTGACTTCATTTGTCTCTTCG